AACAGAGTTCAGAAGACAGGAAGGGTTAAGAAAGGAGGAATGAGAACAGGAACTGGGATGAATGATATGACGTGGCGGCGATGGCGGTGAACGAGATGAGAGAAGCTGCGTATGAATTGTTGAATGGAAAATTGATCTGCTCCACAAACCTTCACTCGATTCACAATAGGTTGAAAAACAAAAAGCAACAGACTTCCACTTTGCACTTCGGAACGAGCTGCCGTACAGTCTATTGCATTAGACATCCCAGTTGAGCACGGGGGGTTGTAGTGCCTTAGTGCACACGTCCCTTTGTGATGCTCCTGGGAACACTGGGGGGCTTGAGTGGGTTGTTGGCTCGTGCAAGGAGCATACCATCGATCCCCCATTGCAAGCCAGGGCGTGTTGCCTGTTGAGTAAGCAGCTGCGCTTTTGGCTTACATGTTTCTCTTATTTACTCTGATAACTGAGCCTCCAAAGACCAAGGCTGACGCAAGGGCTGGGGATGTATAAAAGAAAAGTGGAAATAAAGCGATTAGAAAATGGTGAAACACCTCCAGTCGCTGGAAAAGCACTGGGCTACCTAATCAGTGAACGATGGGAACGAGTTAGAGGAGCATGGAGCACGTGACGGGCTACAATTATTACCCAGCGAGGTGGCGGTTTAATCATTGAAGTAGAAAGGCGACTGGTAGTGTGACTAGCGGGTCAACATTAGCATCACCTGCCAGTTAGTCTTCCTGTGCGGTGCACAAGAAAGGGCTTGGTGCCGCTTGCATGAGTTAAAAGCTGCAGGCGAAGCACAGGAGAGCCATTGTCATGCAGAGGATTCAGTGCAGAAGCCCCCGCGGTGTACTGTGTTACGTGCTGGGCTGCCCACCGAAGAACAGCAATTCGAAACTACCAGGTGCTCCACAGGAGAAAGCGGAGGCTTTCCTATCCCCCAAAGAGTTACAGGCTCAGAAACCCAAAGGGACAGTGCCACCCTGCCCTGTAGGTTCACTATGAGACAGCATTGACTTGTTCACAGGGCTCAGTTTGTTTTTCTTGGTTTGGGCTGGGATTAGTTCCAAACCAGCTCTCACGTCGGTGCTGACTCACAGTGACCCTATGGAACAGGTGACCCCACACACAAGGAGAGGAAGCACTGTCCAGTTCAGCCCCATCTCCAGGATCCATAGGTTGTGAATCATGGCTGAGTTTTGGAAGATTGCCAGACCTTTGTTAGTCTGGACACCACCACCACCACCCCACCCCACCACCACCCCCGAAACCTGTTCAGTAGCATAACAACACATGGGGCTCCATTGACAGGTGGGGGTGGGGGTGGGGGTGGTGGCTGTGCTTGAGGTACGTGGGTTGGGAATCTGGCAAGCTATCCTGCACAGAAGGCGTGACTGCTACCACAGAACCTCCACTGACCCTGGGCTTCTGGACAACTCAGGTTCATCTATAGGGTGTCAATCAGACCTGTCAATCAGGTCGCCCTTGATGGCCTCATTTGGAGGTGCCGCGGAGATAAATAGCTTACTGGAGGCCAGACCCAGACCCTCTGCTTGGTCTTCCTGTTGACAAGTCACACGGAGCTACACTGATGGAGCCAGAGCCCTGGAGCTGGAGGAGCCACATGGAGACCCACGTCAGTGCTGAGATGCTTCCACCACCACCGGGTCAAGACTTTCTACCCACTGGCCAGGGATCTTCCAGCATTCGGCGCCATTGCATGTGTTTCGTGAGGCCGAACAGGACTTCATAGATTGGTATCAGACATATGAGCTAATATCAGATTCACGGATTTGATCTGGACTGGGCTGGGATGTTTTCTAAATACACAATTACTCTTTATATAGAACTCTTTCTTATTTACATATGAGTGTCTATGAATTTGTTTCTCTAGTCGGCGTAGACTTATACAAGGGATCAGGACTCTGAAGGGATTTTTTATTTCTTTTTTGGGTTTTAAAGAAACACACTGTATCTATTTACATAGCTCATCTCAAGAAATGAAATCAACTATGCTGTCCTGTGGAACTTTCCCCACCTCCACCATCCTCCCTCCCATCTTCCTCGATATCCTGTCCTCCACGCTCCCTGGTCCCACCCCATCCCGGCCCCTCCGTGTACTCATCAAAGTCTTGTCTTTGGGTGCTTAAGCCGTGTTTCTTTTTCTGTTTTTCCTTATCATCGTGGTATAATTACATGTTTATCTTTATAAGATTGACTAAGTTTGTTAAGCCTAATGTTCCCTAGTTTTGTCCATGTCTTGTGGCATTGAAGCTTGAAGCGAGCTGTCATTGTTTTTTATGGATGCGTAATGTTCCACATATGGATACACAAGAGCTCGTTTATCCATTCTTCTGTAGCTGGGGTATTTGGTTATCTCCATGCCTTTGCTATTATGGAAATCGCTGCAGGAAACACAGGTGTGCATGTGCCTGTTTGTGCCGTATTCTTTTATTTCTTTAGGGTATATGCCCAGTAGGGAGATTACTGGATCATAAGGTATTTGCATTTATTTAAGGAAGCATCATTACTGATTTCCATAGTGGCTGTACAATTCTACAGTCCCACCAGCCATGTAAAAACTTTCTGATCTCTCCAAATGCTTTCCAGCATATATTATTGTCTGTTTTATTGTTAAAATCCGAATTTTGCTAAAAGTGTCTGTGTGAGATGGAATCCCATTGTTTTAATTGCAATTTTTCTTATTACTAATAAACTCAAACATTTCTTCATAAGGTCATTGTCAATGGATGCCATCTTTGGTAAATTGTCTATTCATGCCTTGTGCCCATTTTTTTTATTGGGTTATTTGTAATTTTCTTGTTAAGATGTTATAGTTTTCTATAGATTATGTTATGTATTATTATTCAATATTTTTCCCAATCTGTGGGTTTTCTGTTGACTTTTTGATGGAATCTTTCAATGTGCACTAATATTACATGTATTTTTAGTAAATCATAGACAGACACTCACTTCCTAAATGACACCAAAGGCATCATTCTAACATGTATGTAGGCTTTGCAACAAAATGTTGAGATGATAAAATTAATGTTTCATCAGCAGGAAATACATCAGGTTACCAGGCTGCGCATTCTTCTAGATTGCTCTCTCTATTCTTTGCACGAGAAAGTTAAGATATAAGCCTTGCCTACACATGTTAATGATGGTAAATATTGAACGAGCTCGCACCCTCATTAACTCATTTATGAGTCATTGTGTGGAAACAAGCCCAGTGGTGGAGAAATGCAGCGCATAAGAGCTCCTGCAATTTCCAGAAACGAGGGCTGGGCTTCCACTCCTTCACCAACAGAGGGCAGGGCAGACCCACACTCTGATACTCAAGAGCCTGGGACTGTGCGAAAGATGTTCTGATGAGGGAGGAATTAGCTCTCAAATCCCGCGTGTGTTCCACTCGTACTTCACGTAATTGCCATTTAGCTTCAATGACTGGAGTCAAGCCTGATGTGCTTCGTGTTCTGTTTGGGATTCAAATAAATGAGGAGGCCACTCACCAGGCTGAGTCCCCCAGACATGTCTCCCACGCTGTGTGAACACCCTGCTTCACGCAAGCAAATAAGCACAACCGCATGATAAGTCTCTTCTCCTGGCAGGGTGCCTGTTTCCAGGGCTAGCTTTAAAGCCTGGAAGGTGCCCCTTTACCACCCCTGGGAGACAGATGAGCCTTAGGTTCTCCTTGGAGGATTCTCCGCAGTTCCTGCCAGCACTTGGACCCAAGTATACCAAGTCACAAGCAAGGGCTGGATGTCATCAATGATCAAGACCCACTTAGAGCAGTCCAAGCAGAAAAAGACATGCTGCATACTTCTCATCAGAGACCCTCCATCTTCCCAGTGGCAATGAGAACAGAAAGGTGCTTCCACTGGATCCAAGCGTGCGTCCTGCCAAGACACGCAGCTGTCCTACTCCCTGGGGAGGACCCGTGACTGCAGCTCGACTTGGCCAGGGGCTGCTTGAGCATGGAATCGGTCAGGTTATCATAAGGTCTGACTCAAGCGAGTGGGCCCTCCTTCACTTGGCGCTGCATCCTCATCAAAGAGGAGAAGGCTGTGGGGAGCACGAGGAAGTCATTTTCATGGTCAGAATCAGGGAATGCTTGGTAGAAGCTGTGGGGGGCAGTGGCGGACGTGGCATGACAGACGCGTACTTGATTGGCCCATTCCTGGAATCCCCTCAGGCCTTCATTGCAGCATGGTCACAGGAAGTGCCTTCTCCTTTCCCCACCTGCTCGTGAAGGATGCACGTGTCTGGTTCATTCTTAAGGTCAGAGCGCTCGCTCTGAGCTCCGACCACAGCACAGATTCATAACACCTAGTGGTAATGAAGTGGAGTGATCATAGTTCATCTTTCCAATGGAGGGTGCTGTTGGTGTTGTGAGTCCCATCCAGTTGGTTCCGACCCACATGCACAAGAATGAAACACTGCCGGTCCTGACCCATGCTCACAGCTGCTCCTGCGCTTCAGCCCGTTGTTGCAGCCACGGTGAAGGGGTAGCCACCATCAAACGGGCAGGTGACACGAATACTTCGGGTGGCACGTGACCTTCTCTGAGATCAGGAGCCTGAGCAGTCTCTGTTTCTCCACTTTATAGATGGAAGCGCTTTAAAACAGAGGAGAGCCCATGTTTGGGTCACTGTAGGCACTTTCTTTTTGGGGGCCTGTCCCTGGTATGGGCCCTAGAAATGTATCCACAAGCTCATAAGTGTCTATAACATGTTCTAAATCAAGGTACCCATGGGCACTTAGTGACAAACGCTGCCTCTTCCTGTGCCAACTTCTCCTCTATAGCACCCTCTCCCCTGTGAAACTGGCCATCTAAACTGAGCATTTGTGGAATCCAGCTAAGAAGTTAAGCCAGAGATAGATCCCATTGGGGTTTCCCTGCTATGTTTAAACAGTACACTGATGATTTCTCTCCACCCAGAAATCCCACTGCCCACTCAGTAGAATGTACAGGGCCATCGACCATAGGCCATATCATGATATTAACATGTCCTGCTGTGCTCACTTCGGCAGCACATACATGAAAAGTGGAACAACACAGAGAAGATTAGCATGGCCCCTGCACAGGAATGACATGCAAATTCATGAAGCATCCCACATTTAAAAATAAATAAATAAGCGAATAAATAAAATGTCCTGCAGTGCCTGGCACTGGGAGTCGTTTGTGGTGGGGAGCAGGCATCGGAAGTGGATGGAGCCACAAGGTAGCTAAGTCTGAAAAACAATCTTCCAGTCATCAGCTGTGTAAGATTTTTAGGCGGAGGATTTTATTCTAATTGAAGCTGAGTCCAAACCGTCAATATGAAAATACTTATCTTGATTAACTACATGACTGAATTAAAGCTCAGCAATAATAGATCATTACATGAGTAAATCATTAATTAAAATAAACCCTTTAAAACCATTTCAAAATAAAATTTTAAATAAAGAACTACAATAAAAGATGTTGTTTGAATAAGAGGTGATCAGAGAGTATGCAGCCCAAGAAAGCATAGGAAGAAATTTCCCTTGCAGTAATTAAGCCTGTTATTTGTGTGCTTATTTTACAGCAGGGGTTATTTAATGCTATCTTTCTGGATTTTGTAAAGCTATGTCAGGAGCCCTGGCGGGACAGTGGAGGACACATTGGGCTTCTAACTGCATGGTCAGTAGTTCTAAACCACCAGCCTTTCGTGGGAGTAAGATGAGACTTTCTACGTCTCTAAAGAGTGACACTCTCAGAAGCCCACAAGGGCAGGTCTATGCTGTCCTGCGAGTTGCTCTGAGCCAGAATCTGCTTGATGGCAGAGAGTTTGCTTTGAGATATTGGGAGTTGTACCTTTTTCTAGTTTTCATTCTAAAACATTAAAGAAAAACATATATTCATTTTGCAGCCAAATGTTTAACTTAAAGCTCTGAGTAGTTTCTGAAGGCCCGCACAATTAAATGTACATTATTGGAAAGTGGATTTTGCCCTATCTAGTGAGTTTAAAAATTAATGCTTTATCATTTTCTTTCCCTTTGGGCCCATTTAAAATGTTTGACTTTCTTTTCCACTGTGGTTTTTCTGATTCACTTTGTTCTTACGGCTATTTTTGTTGTTGTTGTTTGGTTTTGTTTCGTGATTTTTTATGAACATGAAATCCAGGACAGATAAATCTGTAGAGACAGTCGCTGGACAGTACCTTGGGAGTGTGGTAGGAGAGGTTGGGGGGAAATGGGGAGCGAATAACAATGAGTACAAGAAAGAAGAAAATGATCTAAAATTAATTGCAGCAATGAGCACACAGCTATTCTGGATCTAATTGAACAACTGAATTGTGTGATGTGTGGATCATGTGCCAATAAAACTGTTTTTTAAAAAGTAAATGCACGCTGAGCCGCATGAATGCTGCATCTGACTTTGTTCACGGGACAGAAACGAGGCCACCCCAGGATTAGACCCTCCAGGACTCCTGCCTCAGTAACTTGGAACTGTCTGTGGTGCTGGCCACCGAAGCTCAGTTGCCTCTCTCCATGGTACCAACCTCCAGGAGTTCATGCCCACGCCAGGCATCCATGTCTTAAAGGCATCCATGACTTCCACCGAGATCAGCGTTAACATTATAGGAATGGATGCCTTTGCCCAAGAAGAGAGTCTCAACATAGGAGTGTTGAAGGGAAGGCGACAAGGGATGGAAACTCAGACAGGAACATCAAAGGAGCGTTCTGTCAGGGGCACACTGAGCCCAGATCAGAGGGAAAGAGCGGGAGACCTGGGGCTGGTGAGAGGGGAGCAATGGTGGTGGAAGGTGGGGACTAGGGGTGGGTGGTTGGGCCATCTGGGTAGGAAGGAAAAGGACAGTGACTGAAAGGACTGGCCATGAGAGAATGCCCATCACTGGACTAGGACAAAGTGCCCTCCCACGCGGTGGTTAGGAGCTACACTGACTACAGTCGAGGTGGCACCCTGAAATCCCATCTCACTCAAGAATTCGGATAAACTTAAGTCGGTACAAATGGTGTGTGTGTGTGTGTGTGTGTGTGTGTGTGTGTGTGTGTGTGTGTTTCTAAGTCCACGGGTGTGGGAAAATACCTTGTATTTTTTCCATTTAAAGTAAGTACTCTTTATGTACAAATGGGGTTGTTTGGGGGTAGGTGAGAGGAGGCATGTCCAGCCTGCTTGGCTGAGTTGAGCACTTTCATCCAGCTTCCCAAGTGGAGACTGGGTCCCCCAACAATGTGGCTCCTGCTATCAGAGCTGAGATCTGGCAGGACATCGTCAGAAGCCAGACAATTTCCACAAAAAACCGTGAGAAATCTTCAGCGAGTACCATACCAGGGCCAGGTGGGAGGATTTGGGATTAAGGTTGGTAAGTGATCGATTATTGAAATGCCTTGGTTGTAATTGCAAGCGAGAGGAAGGTCGGATCCTGACTCACCTCACACAACCGTCGACCTCAATCCAGGCCCAACAATGAGTCTCAGTCAAGGCAGGATGTCAGCTCAGCCAGTGCAGCGTGGGCTCTCCGGTGCTCCCTTGACCATGCTGGATCTTGCACAGGTCAGCGCACTGACTCTGGCTGGCACTCCCGCTCACGCCCTCCTTATTTACAGAAGAGGCGTTACCGACAGGATCTGCGAGGAGAGGTTCTAATAAGGGTGGGAGGTGCCAGGTGCTCAGGCTGCTTCATCTCAGGTAGATCTTCCCTAGCTTTCCCACCCCACCCCTAGCTGTTGCTGCTGTTAGCTGCTTCTGAGCTGGCCCCCAACTTCCGGGAGCCCCAAGTGTAATAAACAGAACTGCTTCCTGAGCTGTGATACGCCCCTAGCCGATTGGACCATTTTGATCCACTGGCTGATGTTTGGAAAAAGACTGCAAGGCTTTTCTCACTAGTCAGGAAACTACTGAAACCTGTTCACAAGCCTCCGCTGGTAGACAGCTGTGAACTGCACATGGGGAACATTGGCTAATTACACCCAGGTGTCGCTGGGGTTGATGGAAGGCGAGCATTCTGCCACTGAATCATTACCATGCCCCACCCCTTGTCCTCTCTTATCTGTTAACAACTTTATTTTCATCATGCCACTTGCCTGGTCTCTTCCTTCCCTTCCCTGTGGTTTTGCTCTGCTCTGTAACTTCCAGCAGAATTCCAGCCTCCCTTTTTGCAGCCGATCCAATGGACTTGTGTGAGACTTCATTCAGACATTACCTCGTATGAGAGAAGTGGGGGGGAGGGTGGCAGCAGGACTCCCTCCTTTCAGAGAGAGTGCCAATTATGAGGTTGAGTCTCTGGCACAGGACAGACCGCTGGGCTGGAAGCAGCAGACATGTAGGCAGGGTTCCTGGGCTTCGTGGCATGAAATGACCCAGCAATTCTTTTGTGGTTTCTTCTGCCTTGGCAGAATTAGTTAAACTGCCCAGCATTCCTGCCCAAACTCCTTGATCAGCCACAATTAACTTCTGGTGCAAGCGACTGACATTTCTGATGAATGTAAACACGGCTGTGAGGGGATGTGGTGACCCAAAGAACCTCAATGGTTCTGAATCTCCAGCAACACTGGGAGATGGGACTCTGGCTACTTGGGAGACCTGGTGGTCATTCGCATTGGGAAATATGAAAGCCGTGAGCCATCAACCATTATTTGGTGGGTTTCTTCCATTTGTAGGAGAAATTTCCAAGTGACCTTGACTCCACTCCAGCTGCATGATCCTTGAGTGTATTTTTGCAACCAAGATAAGTTTAATTTCCCAAGCCCATTCTAAACTCACTCAAATGCACAAACCTCTCCCGTGGGCTGAGCATGACCACCGGGTTGAAAGACGCCATGACTCTGGAGTGGCCAGATCTTACAGGACCCCTCTCCTCCCCACCCAATGACATCCGCCAACCCACTGGGAAAAGGGCTAAGACATTTATTGAATCATCTACATAAGTTGACATCCTTAAAATCTGGACCAGGTAGTCAGCACAGCATGAGCGGCAACGGCAACAGCAGTGAGATCTGCGGGGACGTATCTTGACCGTGTGAGAGGAAGCCCAGGCTGGGCCAGCTCCCAGGAGTGAGCTCGGTAACATGCCTCTTGGGATGCCAAGGGCTGTGCCACTCAAGCCCTGACCGAAGCAAAGCTACAGCAGACGGACAGACACCAGACAAGACACACATCCGGGAACTTGGAGCTCAAGGAAAAGAGGAGGTATGGGTCACAGCCCACTGGAGAGATAGTCCAGATCCTTGAAAAGATTCTGAAAGGCTCACATGGAAATGCTGCCTCACGTCTCCCCACCCTAACCCCAAGAGAAAAAGCAGAAGGCTGACAAAGAGAATACTGGAATTCTGTGTTTCCCAGAGCCTCCTGGCTGCCTCCTTGTCCCCGATGCTGGTGGTGTGAATGAATGGGGCAAAGGTTAATCTGGGAGGGCTCAAAGCAGTAGCCATAGACAAAGAGCAAAAGGATCTTTCAGGAGGGTCAGGGCTTCATCCCAGTAGCCAGTCCACACATATGCCACTTTCAAAGCACGTTACACACAGGAAGATTCGACTTGAACCATTTCTCTGACCTGTGGGGTAGACCAGGCAAAGCTTGTCTACCCATTTCTCAGATGAGGAGGCTGAGGTCCAGAGAGGTGAGGGCTTGGAATCTCACAGGTGGGGAAGCCGGTTAGTAAGCAGGCTTCTCCCACATCGCACCTCATGTCCTGGAAAACTGTATCTCCAGCGCCCCTCCTGTGCAACACTGCATGTCTATTGGATGTTTTACTGGGAGTGGCATTCTGGCTCATGTGGACCATTATATAGCACATTGGATACAAGCGCCATGCTGGACATCCCTGCTAAGTGTTTTCTTATGCATCCAACGGGGAACTTTGATCTGAAGAACTCCAAGCTTCCTCCCAGCTCTAGGATTTTTGTGAATCCCGCCACCCCAACCCATGCCATCTCTCTGTGGGAAATATGCCAAGGTGGAACAGCAGGTCCCTGACAGAACTGGGAGAAAACCTCATTCCCCATTCCCTGCTCAGGGCTCTTCCAACTGGTCTCGTGGATCCTGTGCTCAAGTAGGGACTCCTAGTGACAAAGGACTCATGGCTCCCACTTTGAAGGGAGCAGGGGTCCTCAGAGAATTTCAGAGAAACCCCCTTTGCATTCTCCTTTCCTGGGACTGACAAGAGCCAAGCGAGGAGGTGAGTCAGCGGTGGAGGTGGGTGTTAACGGATATGGAGGATCCCAAGCCTTGGGCCTGGCTCTGTTCTCCAGAGAACCTAGGTCAGGGACTTTTTTTAGGGAGGACTCACTCTAGATCCATGGCCCAGATTCAAGGAGGGCACAGTTTCCCACTGAGACAAAGAACGTGGCTGGCCTTAGCCTGGAGACTCGTGAACCCTCAGCAGCGCCCAAGTCCCACGCTCTGACCCCATCCCAGGCCCCTGATAGCCTTAGCATCCCGGACTTGGAAGCCCATCTCCACTTGGCAGAGGTTGCTCTCTGGACACTGTACTGTGGCTGGACAGCCATGAGAAATGGCACTGTCCCAAGCAGAATTTAGCCTCCCATGGGTCAGAGTTCTGTTCTTTAGGATTGCATAGAACAAGAATAACCCCTTCGGAAGTAACAATCCCCTAGAGACATGGAGACAGGCCACTGTAGGGCTGCTCCTCTCTAATCCCACCATTCCCAAGTCTCCCAACTCTTCCTCACAAGACATGTGTTTCAGTCCAGAAAAATAGCTCGGTCCTACTTGGGACCCACTCAGAGTCCATGACTGGTGTTTAGACAGTGAATTTCTGAGCTGCAATGTCCTGTACAAACCATTAAGTCTTACTGCCCACTTTATGGATTTGAAAACAGAGCGTCAGAAAGGGCAGAGTCTACGTACTCAGATTTAAGCTGTCCCCACACTGCCTGCGACCCTGAAGGCCAGCTGCCTGCACTCCTGGAACATTCAGCCACAAGGCAGCAGTCACCCCCGCAGACAGCAAAGCCCACTGATGGGAACCAGAACCTCTGGGGGGACCCCGGCTCGGAACTCAGGTGGCAGCACAGGATCTGGGGGTCAGGGTTGTGTTTTGGTCATTGTAGGATAATACATCTATAACGTTAAGGGTTCTTCTCCCACAGTGAAGACCACTTGCTAGTGGGGGTCATGATAAAGGAGTGGGACCTCTCCCCAGGGAACAGCTCCTGTGATCCAGAAGTGACCCCTGCCCACCCCCACAGGAAGCCCTACCATGACCAGGTGTATGGCTCTGTCTGCACCTCACCATCACATCCAAGACACCTGTTCAAATACCCCTGGCCTGGCCCTTCCCTCCGGAACAGAGCCTGCCCCACCAGTTTCCCCGTGGTGCTCACATGGAGGAGACAGGTCCCCTTCTAAGAAAGGGAAAATAAACAGCACGCCCATCCATACACACACATATATGCATATGTATAGCACACAGCTACACATCAAAAATGTAAATGTCACGCCAGCCCTTTGACCTGCCTGGCCATTGAACTGGACAACTGCCCATGAACAGAGCCGGGGAAGCACTGTGAGTGCCTCATCTCACAAATGGGGGAACCGAGGTCTCACACTGACGCGTTGAGTCCAGTCTCAGCAGTAGGAGGCTGACTGATCTCTGGGCCCTAAGCCACAGCACCCTCCAAGGAGCCCCTAATGGTGTCCAAAGTGGGGGCAGCCAGTGGACGCTGGCCTGGGTCACACACCTGTGAGGGATAATGGAGTTGGGTGCATGGGTCCCTGCTTCCCCCTGGTCAGCCTGAGTTCACCAAATGTGCCCAAGAACAGGGAAGCAACCGTTCCCTTCCCTCCACCCCTGCTTTTCCAAAGGCTGGGGACCCAGCTGGGCTTTACTGTACAAGGACACGGCTCATCGCTGGACCACAGCAGTCTGGCCCTTTCCCAGTCAATGATGGCTTCTCCAGGGACAATCCCACCGGTCCCCTGGGCTCTTCTGCTTTACAACAGCAGCCAGAGCAGCATGTCCCTGGACCCAAACGCCAGACACTGCAGAACACAATCATGAGACAAGCCTGCACACAGACTTGGGCCAAGGGCAGACATGGAATTCACTGGGCCCACATGGGGCCATGGCGATGCAGAGCGCGTCTCTTCTTCCCTGAAAGGAGCCCTGCCTCCATCTCGATTCTCAGGGTAGTGGCCATGCAGGTGCAGCTTCCAGCTGGGGAAGCTGGGCAGGTGTCGGGGAGTGGCCACCCCTGCCTCTTCAGCATCATCTGCCTAATGATCTTCTTTTCCAGACACTGTCGCACCCTCTGGTGGCCCAAAGGTCCCAGAAAGAGTTCAATAGCGGAGCCCAAGCCCCAGGAGCTGCTGGCTGAGGCTCCTCACTGTCAACAGAGGGCGGTTGGGTGAAGAGGATGCCCCGCTTCGGAATTTGCTGACATCACAAGCACGGGGCTGGCTCATTGGTTCATCCTAGCCATGGCTTTGACGTGCGAAATGGGGAGCAGGAAGCTGAGGGGCTCTGGAGTGGGCATGTTCGGACATATCACCTCTGGGGCCATCTCTCACCTGCTGTCACTGATGCTGGGAGCAGGAGGGGCAGAATGGAGACTCTCTGCAGAATCCTTGCCCATCTTGAGGTGGTAGTGGGGGATGAAGGAACTAAGAGGGCTTCTCCCACGGATCTCCCAGACTCCTTCCATCAGACCCTCCACATGCCAGGCTCTCGGTTCTTCTTCTTGGGCCACGGGGAAAGCACCAGAGCTTTCTCTGACCCACAGCCCCTGCCCATGCTCAAGTCTCTGTCCCACTGGCCAGTACCCAGGAGTCTGGCATCCAGAGCCCTGGACTCTGGAGAAGCATGAGGAGGCCCCTGGTCTGAGGCCATGCTGCCCCTCTGGCCAGCTCAAGAGCTGGGCCCAGGACAGGAAGGGCAGTGCACGGTGTGAGCGGACTCCCACGGGGGCGCACCCAGAATCAGACACTGCTGGGGCAGGGCTATCTGTTTGACCTCTGCTCACAAGGAGTCAGGCCGCCATGGAGGCTGGTGGCGATGCAGTGGAGATGGAGCTGGGGGCCTGCCTGGGCATGAGCAAGGACCCTGGACCAAGGGGCAAGGGAGGTGGCAACTTTTCCAAATTGGATGAGTTATTTACAGGTCTGGGATCAGGACCCAGGGAGCCAGGGCAGGTAGGGGCCAGTGTCAACAATGAAGAGGGGACATAGCGTTCTGTGCCCTGAATCCTCCTCCCCACATCCAGGAGCCAAGCCAGCAGCCCAGGCCGGCCGGGGGAAGGGAAGAGGTGCAAACACGCGTGGGCCACACACTACCCGCCTGCCCACCGCCCCGGCCTGTGCTGTGGAGGAGAGAAGGGGACATGGGGTGGGACTCAGGTCGCCAGGTTGTCAGCCGGGAGGCCGGACATGCGGATCTGGGAGCTGCTTTTGCTCAGGATGGAGAGCTGGGTGCCCCCGTTGACACCACTGCTGGCCAGGGATGGGTGCCGGTGCTTGAAGTCCATGGTGAAATAGCGGTTCACCTTCCAGCTCCGCCACTTGCGCTTGATCTCCGCCTGCACCTGCAGGGAGGAAGCTGGCCGTTACTCCCAAGGGCAGCCACTCCACCTGACAGACCCATGCACGGCCAGCCCCATATCAAGCACCCCTCTGCTCCCTGCTGAGGGGCCCAGATGCAGCCTGCAGCCCAGGGGCCACAGGGATGTAGCCGCACAGCTGGCCTTCATACCACTAGCTAAGCAAAGCCCCTCCAATGGCGTCTGTTGGACCTCGGTTCCTGACTCTGAACGTCCTACCATGAGAAGCTAACCCCTGGTGGCCTCTCAAAGGATCTTTGCAGAGCAGCCCCCAGGACAGGTGGATCAAGGAAGGGACCACCTGCTATGGGCTGCACTTGACAAGCATCTGGAAGCTTCTAAGCACCCAGAGGAGATTTTATACCAAGCCCCTGAATAAGTACATCAACCTTTCAGGGATAAGTCCCAGGCATCTGGGGTCCGGGTGTGCAGACAAGGTGGAGAGGCATGGCCCCAGGTAGCAGATCTTAGCATGGACAAGGGGTGTGGGGTGAGATCCAGCCTCCATCTCTGTGGGTGCAGAACTGCCCAGCTGTAGCTGCTCCCACTCCCACCCCCAGCCTCTCCTTGACTTCCCACACCCACTACAGGCCTTTGATTATGGTCAGCTGACACTGAGGTGGTCCTCTAACTCATAACTAACCACTCGTACAGTGGAAGGAAAGGCTGTCGGGCCCTGTGCCATCTCCGGCAGGTGATAGATCAAACCCAGTCCTGAACAAGCTGCATGCCATCCCCCTCAGGGTCTTCGCTTGGCCGGCCCCTCCCTGAAGGGTCCTGTCTACCCTAATCCGACACTCCTACAGTGGGCCTTGGAGACCAAGGAGTCCAACCTTCTGGTTACTCACAGGCCACAGAGGGAGGGGCTGCCTGAGGTCATTAGGCCACGTAGTTAAGACCCACGCACTGGTGCCGTGACCCCCATCACTCCCTGAACCCATCCCATTCACCAACAGCACCTCTGCTCTGATCACTGCTCCAAAACATCACCTCAAATAAGCTAGCGGGCATGTCCCCAAACCATAGCTCTGAAAGAAAGTTTACTAAAGGGTCCCAGGCACCTCTTCTAAGGCCCCACTGTCCCCATTCTAGGGACAGTTTGGGTGGGGCGGGCTGGCTCTGCCCTCACCCTGCCCATGGCAGCCTCATGAGCAGTGGGTACCAGGGTCTGGCCCTTTGTCTTCCTGGTTGTCGATGTCTCCTCAGTAGGCTGCCTTAGTGACCACAGACCATGCGGCAACTCCCCACCCACCCACCCACCCAGTTCCCTGGGTGCCGAACCCATCCTCTGCCAAACAAATGTCTTCCTTCCCTACTTAGAGGTGGGGCCTTAGCCGCACCACAGGCAAAGCAGGGCCAGAGGGTGTCCACCTGATGCTGGAAGCTGACTATTCATCCAGGTGCTCTTTATCCAGGGAGCCAGCAGAGCCCTGGCCTGTGGCAGAATCTCTACGTGGGGCTGCCAGCAGGCCACCCACTGTGCTCCCTGCTCCCCCAGTTGGCCCTGTCTCCTCTGCTTAGAGCCCAAGGGTCGGAGTCTTACCTCCCCGTTCAGGAAGCAATAGAGGACCGCCACGACGAAGCCCTGGGGAGAGAGTGCCAAGACAGACCTGAGAATGCAGTTGTCCACATGCTGCATGGAGAGGTGGGGGGGGGGGCGAGGGGGGGGGAAGAGCAGGAAAACGGCACCGGCCTGGCTGCCCTGTGTGGAACAGGGCCATCCCTCCAGGGGCCTGGGGTAGGATGGGCCACGTTCTGCTTTGTGAAGATGGGCCTAGAAGTCCAGTGGCTGGCCACAGTCCCTCCCACTGCCCCACTGCCCTGGCTGCCCCACAAAGGCCCCTTCTAGCACATTGTCTACAAGAACTTCTCCCTGGACACCCCAGCCTCCGCTGGCCTCCCCTAAAGCCCCATCCTGAGGTTCCCACTGCCGCTGGCACTGATCTCTGGGTGCCCCCAACCAGCCTGCAGGCTCCCTGAGGACCAGACCCTGCCTCTTCCTCCTCTGTCCCTCCAATCAGAACTGGCCTGTGCCATCTTTAGCCTCCACCACCTCCCCTTTCCACCTCCCTCCAACCCTGCACTCCTGGACACACACACACACCGGGTGGAGGACGTACTCCCCAGAGTAGACATGCAGTTATGTGACATATAGATATACATACATATGTTCCTGGCATTTAGAATTATTTCCCCATCAACAGACTAAAAAGAACTGTCTCCTCATATCCCAGAATGTGTCAGTGAGGTTAGAGGCAGGGACCCTAGCCCTGGACGTGGGCGGGGACCAGGGCTCTGTCTAGGCACCCAGCCCACCAGGGTTAAGAGCGAATGCTGCACAGGTGAAATGGCCTTGAATGAAGCCAGGGGCAGGGGGAGGTCAAAGTTAGAAGCACGGAGCAACTTTCTGAGCATGGGAATCAGGTGGCACCATCTACAGCTGCAGTCTGGAGAGGCTGTTTCCCGGGGACACTCAGGGAAGTCACAGATGCCTGCCTGGACCCAGGGGCTCTCCACCCTCCCCTCCCTGGTTTACAGCCCCGCCTCCTTATTTCTTTCATTCGCCGAGCCTCTATCTGAACCCCAAGTCAATTATTTGCACACCCACCCACCCACCGAGGCCCTTCAGCTAGCGCTCTGTGTCCAGGTCCTGTGCTGGGGACCATGCTCTGTAAGGAGCCCTGCCCGCCAAAGCCAGGCTGCGGACAGAGGTCTCCTGGGGACACTGCACCAGGCCAATAGTAAGGGCTGGGGATGTGCCAGCTCAAAGCACCCAAGGGCGGCCCAGCTTAGCCATCCAGATGGGTCACGCACCCATGGATGTGTCTCCCCCCCCCCCTCACCCCACCCCCCCGGAAGCCCAGAAGGGATGAGAACAGAAAGGGCGTTCACAGCTGAGGATGCCTGCTTTAATCCTCTGTTTCAGAGGTGGGACTGGGAGACCCGGAGCACAGGTGAGAGACATTTCCAGAGGCAGCAGCAGGTCTGTGGCCAGGGGCTCCCCACCCACCCCGCAGCAGCCTACCTGGAAGGAGCCCAGCCCCAGCTCAAACACAAGTCTCTCTCTCTTGCTGACGTTCTCCGGGGAAAAGGCGAAGACCGTGTAGTGAATTCCAAACAGCGGGATGAGCAGCAGGGTGGAGCGTGCCAGCCGTCTGTCGGGAGAAAGGGAGACATCTGCCGGGGGTGCCAGGGACCAGAGTGACAGAGGGCAGAGAATCTTGGGCCCAGATCATTTCTCTCCCTCAGATCTGAGCAAGCCTGCTGTGTGAGTCCCTGCTCAGCCTCACCTAACCCGGCCAGCACACGGCCTGGGAGAAGAGAGGTGGCTAACAAATTTCGGGGCTCCCCTGGACTCTTCTGGGGCAGTAGGGGGGAGAGAATCATCCCTAACCTGCAGAAGAGACTTCCCTGCAGCCACATCTGACCCTAGAGGCTCCTTCAGTTGGACACCACTGAAAATGAACTTGGGAGTATGCAATTCACATAGACCTCCTGTGTGCTGTGCAGGGAAGTCAGGATGAAGCCTGGGCAGCACCAGGGGTGTGACGGGTCCTCAAAGAGAACAGATGCCCTCCTGCTCTGCTACGAGGTCCCAAAGGCCTTCATGAGCAGCCCCAGAGTTTGCAGAGACACTCGGTGGGGACTCCTGCTGGGTGATGGGAGATCAGAACAGGAAAGGCTTGGGATGGATTCTCAGAAGGACTTCCCAATGCTGGGCACAGAGAACCACATGTCAGCTACGTCAGAGGGGTGTGTCAGCGGGAGAGGAGAATGGATCCACAGGGATCTGGCTCCTCCGGAGAAGGGCTCTCTGGGTGCTTCCCTACATACCCAGGGCCCGTGCGCCCACAGTAGACTGTGCTGTGAATTGAGGGTGCAGGGCAGAGAAGGCCAGGCTGAAACTTCATGAATGTGTGTCTTGATAAGCACGTGATCGTGCGCCCCAGTGAGGAGTCAGGGTGCCTTAGAAGCGCTGCAAGGGTGGGACCTTCTCTTCCTACCATCAACCTGGCTTCCTCTAAAGCTCCAACAACTTCCTCTAAAACTGCCATCGAGTCAATGGCAACTCACAGCGGCCTTATAGGACAAGGTAGAACTGCCCCTGGGAGCTTGGGATAACTGTGATTCTTTACGGGAGTAGAAAGCCCTGTCTTTCTCTTTCAGAAAAGCAACTGGTGGTTTTGAACTGCTGACTTTGGGGATCGCAGTCTAACGTATAACCAGTATGGCCCTAGACCTCCCCAAAGAGCCTATTCCTGCACTGAAAAAGTGGCCAGCCCTGTTCAGGGCCAGCCCAGGTCCCTGGGAAGTGAGGTGGGTACAGGATGTCCCACTGGAGCTAGGGGAAAACACAAGAGTGGGGGCAGCCACTGGATCTAACACCACCCCTGTCCTCCCCTCTCAGAAAAGGGTCCCACACCAGCACTGTGGAATGTGGGGACTCTGGATTCCTGGAGATTGTGGCCCATGGTCCCATGTGAGGCCTATGCTTCCTAGTGTCCATGGAAAGAGAAGGATGGGAGAGGGGTGAGGCAGTGAGGAGGGCCTGAGATCTCCAAGGCTCAGCCTGGAAAAAAGAGGTCCTGGGGCTGGGCCCCTGCCCATCTTACCACTGTCCCCAGATGCCTTGGTCACCTATTGTGCCCCAGGACCCAGGGTATGAGTGGACTGCTGCTCTGGACCCAGATATGAGCCTGGGGAGGTCTGTCCTTCCATTCCAGCCCTGTTTGTCTGTATTCTCTCAGGCTTTGTCTCCCTGAACGCAGGGTGCTGCCTGCTGATGTCTTTTCTCACCCACGGTGGGTATGGAAAAATGCCTGTTCCGTGAAGGATGGAGTCTCGGATTCTCAGAACAAAAACTGCACGCTGCCATGGAAATCAACTCCCAAGGGCGGAGGCCTCGTGTGTCTTGGGCTCAGAGGGTGCCCCCCTCGGTTCCTAAGGGCTGGTTTCTTGAAACAGACACTCAGCTCTTTCTTCCAAGGCACCGCTAGGTAGATTTGAATCGCCTACATTTGGGTTACCATCCAAACATTTAACAGTGGGCGGTGAGTGCCACCCAGGGACCATGAGGCTGGAAAAGAAGCCTTGGAGCCCGTAAACCTGAGCCTGGTTGGGAACTCCATGCAGGCCACCCTGAACTTGATCACCCCAACCCTCCCCATGCTCAGCGCCTCACACCAGAAAGGCAACAGAAAGTTACTCCAAGAAATAGCAGGACCACTCCTGGTCATGCATGGCCTGGACATCTAGGGGCTCCTCTGGGGACTTGCCTAGAGCGGTCACTTGCAAGAAGCTTAATGTACAGGGCTAAGCAAAGAAAGTGGGCTAGCAACACGACTGTAGCATCAGCTCCTACACTCCTCCCTCCTCGCTTCTCCACCAGCAGGGCCTCATGCATGGGCCTGTGCCTGCAGCTTGCAGGGGGTTCTGGGAACTGCAAGGTCAAAGCTCTCTCGCTTTCGTGGGGGCATCAGACAGAACAGGCTTGATGCGAGTAGCAGTGAGGCAGGCTCTTCCCCCCCACAAAGGGCACAGCAGGGACTGGCAGCAAAGGGACCCAACAGTACAGTGCAAGGACAGCCCCTTCCTTCCCACCTGCGGTCAGAGACCTCTGCAGAAGACCCAGGCCATCCCGGGGTCCCACTGGCAGATGGGGCAGGGCCTGGGGCCCCTACTCCAGGACTGATCAAGGCCTGGAAATGGGACCGAATGCTCCCTCTTTCAGAACAGTGATACAGATACCCCATAATCTGCTTAGTTCAGAGGGTGTCTGAGCTCCACCCAAGGCCCTCCTGACCTGAGAGGCCCCCAATGGGCAGAAGAGCTTCTACTGGGGAGAGACACCTGGATGACAATGGGCTGCCTGGGGACACTGGTGTGCCCTCCTGCCCCCAAGAGGGGCATTGTTGCAGAGAGGCTGGCACTCCTGGGTTCAAATCATGCGGCCAGGAGTCAATCACTTAGCCTCTCTGTGCTTCATTTTCCTCATCTGCAGCCCGGAGGTCACCCAAGTACCCACCTCCATGGGGTGTCACGGGGCTTAAATGAGCTGATCTCAGCTTGGCATATCTGAGGGCTCTGTGGCTGGAGGCCGCCTTATAGGAACTCAGACTCCAGGACCCAGAAACAATGTAAAGACTGAAGCCCAGGGGATTTGCAGAAATCCACACAGAGGCTCCAGGGCAGAGTCCCCCTAAGCCCAGGGCCCGCTGCAGGCCAGCAGCCCACAGTTCCATCCTGCACCCTCCCCTCGTCACCACGGCACAGGCTGCAGAGGACTCACGAGACACACAGAGCGCCAACATGCAACAGCAGGGGCGGCTGGGCTGGGGGCACTGCCCGGCAGGACTCAAGCCTGAGGCAGCGGAGGTGGTGGCGGCGGCGGCAGCATGCGGCCCCCTCCCTCCCGTCCAGGAGGCCCCGGCCACAGCCACGGCCACGCACACTTACAGAGTAATGGTGGACAGTTCTGACATCTTGCAAGAGTGCTGCTCAGCCCGCTGTGGCTTGCAGTAGCATTTCTGCACGCAGCTGCTGGGTGTGACAAGATTAGCACTTCTGTCAGCCGGGGCATGAGGACAGTGGAAGAACTGGGTTGGGTTTGGTCAACACCGTTTACGAGGAGGGCTGGAGAGGGGAGAAGGTGGACGCAGGGCCAGGGCAGTCACGGGAAGGATACAGAAGTTGTGGACCAAGACAAGGCCGGCTCTGGACACAGAAATGCAAGACTGTATGTGTGCATACACACACACACACACACACACACACACACACAGACCACCGACAGGTGGAGGGGATTGGGAGTGAAAGAGTGTGCTTGGAAGGCGGGGGCTGGGGGCTGGTCTCATGCAGGAAGCCAGAGGCTGGCTGTCTCGTGTCAGCTCCAAGCTGAGAGTACGGCCTGGCTGGGGGGCACTCAGTGAAATGGGCGGCCGGACAGTCATGCCATGGACCTCACGGACTACACAAGCCTGACCTGATGGCACTTGGAATTGAGCCAGCTAAGGGGTTGGCTGGGAAAGCCTCTAGGTGGCCACTGCTCTGGCTTCCCTCTACCTGTCCTCTTCTCCAACCACGCCATCCCACCTCACCATCTTCTCTCTGAGCCCCCGGCACCTTGAGGTCAATCATCCAGGGCAGTAAGGGGACACAGCTCTACGGGTGATCTGTGTTGGTCCGGCTGAGACGTCCGACATGGCAGCTTCTAACTAACTACACGTAGCTCTTTGTGAGTACAAGGGACATGGAGTAAGATTAAAAGCCCTGTCCCTCCATCACAGGGACCACGTTTCAAGGGCTCGATGGCCGCACAAACACAGCTCTCCTATCAGGCAGCAGAGACAGAGGGTCTTCCCATTGCCTTGGAGAGTTCTGCTGGACACCACTGGACTGGGCACTGGAACATGCGTTCAGAGGGCAGGGGAGGGGGTGGAAGCATCACTGGTCACTGTTATATTGTCTCTAGAAGGAAGTCAGCTTTGGAAGGTCCACAGGGGAGCTGGAAGCCAGTTATTGGGAACAACGCAGAGCTTCCAAGTCGTCCAAGAGAGCTCAAGCCAACTCTTGTGTTCTTCGAGGTCCTGCTGATGTCTCGGTTGCCACCAACTGTGGACCCTTCTCTTACAAACAAGAGGCAGATTAAGAGGTGTGCAGTCGTAAATCCCCCTCAGAGAGGGTCCTCGGACTTGCTGGCAGATTGATATATGCAACGAAGCTCCGTACAAGTGAAAACCGACAGACAGGGAGAAGGGGCCCTTGGCATTCATGGATGGTTTGATTCCAGCCTTCTGAGTATAGGCCTGAAGGTCCCCCACATGTGGTGATGTGTCATTTGACGGAGGCCAAACTCTCACTCGCATACATCAAAGATGGATCCAGCGGGGGCCACGCCCCCTGCGGGTACCACTGGGTGGGCCTCCGTTGGATTGCCGGTGCTCATTTCAGTCCCCGCCACGCTGTGGGGTGGGCGCTGCTGTTTGCGCTTTGCAGGGAGGAGCGTGGAAGATGCTATAGGATGCATTGCTCCTCCTGGACCACAGAGTCCGTACGTGCTGGGAGCGAGAGTTAGATGTGTAGAGTCTTGGGGCGACCAGGTCCTGCTAACTCAGAATTTGTGACTTAACAAAATCCTGAAGGGTTTCTGATGCATATGAGAGCCTGAGAAGAATGATCTAGAGGCAAGCCTGTGTTTGAGAAGTTGTTTCCTGTGCCCTTAATGAATGTCCAAGGTCTGTCTATTGACCCACAAAGATAATGCAGACGAGTGTGTTCCTCTTGACAATTACATATTGAGCTTAATTGGGTCCTCAGGAGGAGAGCTAATCTGGCCTTCAAAGGTGTTATCTTTCTTGCTCAGATTTAAAAGGGTAGACAGATCCCCTTGTAGCTGGTGACCTGACTGACTCCCTTTCTTTGTGGGGTAAGCACTGAAAGCAGTCTCTAGGAGCCCACAGGCACCCAGGGACCCCGTGTTACCTCCTATGTACCAAGTTCAGGTGCTTAGCCCCAAATTATAAGTTTCCGATATTCTCCTTTAAAGCCCCTCTCCTTGAGCTCCAAGACTCTCCTGGTCCCTGTTGGGCCCTGGAGGCTTTCACAGTCAATGCAGACTCTTCTCCCTGATTTCTTCAAAGTATCCTCTGGCCGTTTGAGGGCCAACGTGGCTGGATAATCCTGCTCCTAGAAAATACCATGTGCCTCTGATGAGGAGGGCAGGAAACAGGGAGCGGCTGAACAGAGGACCTGGAGCCTGAGAGGCTCTTCATAACCCGAAGCAAGCCCACTGTCACTGAGGCAATTCCAACTCAGAGCAAGAGTGTCCAAGCCTCATCTTCCTCTGACGGAGTGGCTGGTGGGTTTGAACTGCTGGCCTTGAGGTTAGGAGCCAAATGCCTAACCAACAACACTACCAGGGCTCTGTGGGAGGCTCTCAGGGGAAACCAAACTCACTGCCATTGAGTCGATGCCAACCCAAAGTGAGCCTCTAGGACAGGGTAGAAATGTTCCTGGGAGTTTCTGAGACCATAACTCTTGACGGGAGTAGAAAGCCCAGTCTTTCTCCCATGAAGCGACTGGTGGTTTCAAACTGCTGGCCTTTGGGTAGCAGCCCAATGTGAAACCACTACACCACCAGCCCTCCTTTCAGGGGAAAACAAAAGCCAAAGCCAAATCCCAAGGCCCTGCCTTTGAGTCAATTCTGACTCCTTGGGACCCTCCCAGATCAAGTACAACTGCTCCCCCGGGGTACCAATGGTTGACAGGTACTGAAAATGCCATCTGTCTCCCAAGGAACAGCTGGCGGGTTTTGAACCATAGACTTGGTGGTTAGCAGCCCGATGCTTTACTTAGTCTACTGGGGCTCCTTCAAGCAAGACAGATCTGGATACAAATGGAAGAGGAGGCCCTTCTCTCCCACACATTTTCCCGTCCCCCAGACCCTCCATGTCCCTGGGTGGAAGGCCGGGGGCTGAACACAAAGCAGCAGAGAAAGGTGGTGGCTGGGAAGCCCGAGACGAGGGTGTGAGAAAGAACGAGATGTCAGAACAACTGAAGACAAGGGAAGAGGGACTGAATCAAGAGGAATAAAGGGAACCCGGGGCTAGTGGAAGTGACCGATTCTGGGCTGGCTTCAAGAGAAGCGAAAGAGACTCCCCTGAGGCCGGTGAAGGAGCTGCAGGGAATGCGGTGTGAGCCTGAAGCAGAGGGCTGGACATCCCATGGCAGGCGTAGGACCCATGTCCACATCCCAAGGTCAGTGAGCCTGCCCATAGCGTTGTGGTGTGTCTGTAGCAAAGGGGACCCCATTGCCCTACAGCCAGGGGCCAATGTCCATGGTTTCTATGCACTCCTGCCTGTCTGTATCTCAGGCAACACACCAGGGGAGTCTCAGGTGCCCTTTGTGTGGGCATTGTAGCCCCAGAAATGGTGTTGAAGCCTTAGAGGAAGGCACCCGTAGGGGGCCTTGTGAAGGCAGAAGCTGTCTTACCCATCAAGGCCTGGTCCCAGTGACCAGCACGGCTCTGCACAGTCAGCTGGTCCACAGGACATGGCGGTTTGAGCCAAATGTTCTCCATCCCCCACACCCCTTCCTCTCCCATTGCTAAGCTGCCATATAGCCCAGCACCCATGCCCAGCGCCCAAAATTGCACTCCTGCAACACTAGAGCCCCGGCCAGAAGCACAGCCCAGCAGATCTTAGCAGAATCCTTGCCTCCCTTCCCTCGGGCTCCCCACCAAGCCTGGACCAGTCCCCGCTGGCAGTGGAGCCCCGGAGCTCTCGTGTGACCACTGATTAGCTGGGTGGTCTTTGATCCTGAGTCTGGTCTCCGGAGCTGGTCTCCGGGCCTGAGTTTCTCATCTGCAGAAGTAGGGTAACAGCTCCCTGCTGCTGACCTTGAACAGGAGCGGTGAAGGTGGGTTCTCTGCTCTTCAACAGAGGTTGAGGGGGTGGGGGTGGGGGGATTGGGAGTGGAAGATCAACGTGGATAGGGAGCTCCTGGCTGTTGTTGTTCTTGAGACGAATGCTTACTTCTCTTGCCTACTCAGGGAAGACCGCCCTGACCCTCCATGCCGCCACAACCCCAAGGGACATTCTGCAGATCTCACAGGGTCTTCTGTTCTCCCACCTTTACTTTACGGTGCAGGGCCATGGGCATTGTTCTGGGGAGCCCCCCTCCCCCGGGGGATATAGAGATGGGCTCTTCCCTCCCCCACCGAGATCCCACATGTCCATCCCGCAGTGGGAAAACCCAATGGGAATGAACCCAGGTCCTGAGGCCGCCCACCCCTCTCCTTTTGTGAGCCCACTAGGGTCTCTCAGACGTCACTTCTTTCTGCCCAAAAGACAGGCTCCCCCTACCCCTGCTTCCAGCCCAAGCACAGACAACAACATTGGATAGAACCCTAATCCCTGCCCAGACCAATCTCACCCCATGCAATGCCCACCCATGACCCAGGCCCCGACTCAGTCCTATCTTGGCCAATGCCCACGTCTGCCCCAGCCATACACCAAGTATGGTGCCAGCCAGTCATTCTATTGGGTGCACCAGGTTCGAGGCTCAGTGCCCTCCTCCTTCCAGAGAGACCCCGGCCCCAACAGGTCCTCCTGAGGCAGGGTCAGGAGCGCTGACTCGGTACACGGAGGACAAGCCCTTTATCATCTGAGCAGCTGGAACCAACCTACAGAAAAGGGAGTGAATGCTGGTCTGAGGGCAGAGGCAGGGGATCCTCTCGGGCTTTCTTGGGGACTCCCGGGTTTAAATTTGTTCTGGAAACAGAGGGAAAAAAATCAGAGAGCGATTGTGGGCAGACCCAAACAGGCTTCTCAGGCGAACATACAACTCTGGTGCCCCGAGGTGGAGCCTTTGGGCCCTGGGATCTTCCTTTCCCACCATGCCCTGCCATCTGGCCACGGCTGACACCTCCCCAGTCCAAAGCCAATTCCCTTGCAGGCACTCCGGGGGGCTGCGGGGAGAGGGGCGCCTTGACCCGAGGCTGAAACACAAAGGGGGCTCTTCTTCCAGGGGGCCTTATTCAGACATTCACTTTACACTTGCTCCCCAGTTATCAATCCCTTGAGGGCAAGAATGCAGGTACAGTCCAGCTTGGAGACTAGGGCCTGCCACCATTGTGCTCCGTCTTCCCTCCTTCCTCCCTGATTCACGTCCCTTCCCTGAGAATGAGCTCCCAGCTCTGAAGCAGGGGTTACATTTAATGATTGATGACCGATCCCCCTCGGGATGCATGGAATGATTCTGAACATTAAAAGTGCATGAGCCGAGTGCAGGCGTTTTAAGTACAGCGCCACTCCGAGCAGGCCTGCCATTTGTATTGCGGGCCACCTTCCCCAACAGAGTCTCCCTGACCCTGGAAACATTCTCACGTGTGGGACCAAGTTGCCCCCTGTCCTGTTTAAGTCCCCAGCCCCCACGGGGACCTAGCTTGCAGGCCACACCTGCCTGGGTTTTTCATCTTTGGGATTTTAAGACTAGCAGAGGCTGGCCTGTCTAGAAAGAGCCCATCTACTGAAACTGCAAGGGGATTATTGGAGACTGCAGAAAGAGACCTGCCGGTTGGTTCCTTATGGGACTCAGCCTTAGACACCCCCCCCCCCCACCTTATAGTTGCAAATGGTTCTGATCTGGGACTTAGGGCAGGCTGACAAAACTCGCTAGCTCTTTGGCCATGGAAATCTCCGTTCCTTGGGTCTCTGCTACCAGAGGCTTGCGTGTTTCCCTGTCTGGGCCAAGATGCCTGAGCTGATACAGTGTATGAAAACCAAGCCCCCGCTGCCCTCCAGGCAAGTTCGACTCATAGAAACCCCACAGACCGCAATAGACTGCCCATTATAGAAACCCGAGAGACAACAGTAGACCTGCCCATTATAGAAACCCTATAGACCATAGTAGTCCTGCCCATTATAGACACACTACAGAACTGCCCATTGGGGTTTCTAAGACTTTAAATCTTTGCCGTATCACATAGGCTTATCTTTCTCCCGAGGGGCGACTGGTGGGTTTGAACCGTTGGCCTTATGGATTAGCAGTACAATGTACAACCCACCATGTCACCAGGGCTTCTTAAAAGTGCTGTCAAGGTTCAGGGGGAAAATAAAAGGTTGCCAACACGTGTATGCTGACATGTGGCAATCCGTGTGCATGAGAGAGCAGAATGGGGTGCCCTCGGGTTTTCCACGGCTGTGACCTCCAGAAGGAGCCTGCCAGACTTCTCTCCTGAGAAGCCTCGGGGAAGACTAGAATTGTCATCCTTTGCCTTAGCACTTGAGCATGTTAATAATTTGAGACGCCCAAGAATTCCCAGGCTCACTTGTCTCCTTCCTAAGAGTGCCTGTGTGTGTCCCTCCCCTGGCAGAGTGAGGGGAAGCTTGGAGGGTCCCCGGGGAGTCGTCCCAGAGGGCTTCAGAAGCCCAGGGCTTGGGGACTATTTCCGACTATATCACACATGCATCTCAGCAGAGGGCTTGGGGACTATTTCCTACTATATCACACATGCATCTCAGCAGAGGGCTTGGGGACTATTTCCTACTATATCACACATGCATCTCAGCAGGGGTCTTGGGGACTATTTCCTATTATATCACACATGCATCTCAGCAGAGGGCTTGGGGACTATTTCCTACTATATCACACATGTGTCTCAGCAGAGGGCTTGGGGACTATTTCCTACTATATCACACATGCGTCTAAGAAGTGGGTTTGTCAAAGCTTGCAAAAACAGGAAGAAAGAAAAGGACAGTCAATGAAAAGCAAAAAAAAAGGCTTTTCCAATGTAATGGGATCATTGTGCATGTAGGGAAAACATGAATAAACTCCCCAGGACCTGTGTCAACCCCCTACCCACCAGAGAAGGGCTGGACAGACACACAGACAGACTAAGTGCATGGAAGCCCCATGGAGCTTCCAGGAAACTTTGGGGATTTGGTCCCTGTGCAGCTCCGGAATTCCCTCCCCCTCAGAGAATGGCTGAGTGGCACTCTGCTGGGTTCCCTCCCCGTCCCCCTTTTTGTCCCACTGGGCAGTCCTCCAGATTCTGAGACCCAGGTTGGGGTCTCTGATGCAGATAGGACCAAGCACCCACTGAGGCTGTGGGTCTGACCTTATCTCTCCCTCTAATCTACTGTCTCCTGGAAGTACTGAATAAGCACATGCTTCCACATCGCCCGTGGATGGGTCCCAGGAATCGCCCCCCAGAATTGGACTGCACCCATCTAGCCTCTCCAGCCAAACACCGGGGACAGGTCCTCCTTCTCAGCCTCAGAAATGGCCCCCACCTCACACACTCAGCTGGCCATGAGCCCACCCTTTAAACCAAAAATGGAGGTGAAGGAGTCCCATGCATTCAGAATTCAATGAGGACAGGGGTGGGGCTGGGGGGAGAAGGGCAAGGGAGGGGAGAAATTCCCCGAGGATAGACGGTGAAGGACATGAATGCCAAACACGTTGTGAAATCAAAGGGCAGTGAAAAGAAAGGCCTGACAGTCCATAGGAAGTGGTTGCTCCCAAGCCCCATCCATCGTAAGCAAATCTGACTGTCCTCTGCTAAGGAAGAGGGGGCTTCCAAAGTGGCATCGGACACAGAGGTAGCAAGCACTACCTTGAAGGGAAGTGGAGAGGAGAAAGGCCATCTCCTTCTCACGCAGATTAGGGAGAGACTGGCTCTCCAGTGGGCCAGAGCACCTTGTGCACACGCGGCTGTGGCTGGGGATAATGGACAACTATGTGGTTCTCACGAACTTCCAGCAGAATGAGATCCCCAAAGGAATCCAACTTCCAAACAATCCAGGCCTGAAGAGCCCTGGGGAATCCAGGGCTTTCCATCTCAGTTTTCCTAAGACTTGAAAGTGTTCTCTCTCTCTCTCTCTCTCTCTGTCTGTCTCTCTCTCTCTCTCTGTCCCTCTTTTCCCTTTCATGTACTGACCAGGTGGGTTAGGAGCTCCTGGGAGTGGCTAGAAGCTGGGAGGGCAACTGTATTTTGAAGGCAGTTCAATCAGCAAACCAAACATCTTGCAACTGTCCCTCCTAGGTGAATGGTCATCAAAACCCAGGCCTTGTCCTGCCTGTGACTGGGTGGGGTGGGTGAGGCCCACCCACGAGGCTGATGGGGGTGACGGGAGCAGTAACACACTGGTACTTACAAGTAAACACTGGACTCGTTGCCCCCCATGTCTGGAGACTGAAGTTTCTGCACAAGGATGACGATGATGCCAACGAAGAGCACGAAGTTAACCTGAGGAGCAAAGGAAACAAACAAACAAATAGAAACAACTCGGGGCAAAGCCTGTCCACCCCCACCCCTGCATCCGCTTAGGCGGTTATCCCCCACCGCCCTCTGTTAAGACCCCAACCGGACACCTAATTCAAGATGGCTGCGGCAGGCGGACACTTGGCTGTCTTCCCAGCCTCCAACACCACCACTGAAATGGCAGATGAATGAGAAGGAAACAGAATCCCAGAGTAAAGAGGATTTGGCATCAGAAATGTCCCAGCCCCCGCACACGCAGCTGGAGACCCAACAGTTGAGGTGAGGGAGCTGTGTGCTTCCAGAATTAGTTGAGGGCAGGGGAGTGGTGGGAGGAGCAAGGGAGGGAAGAAATAGAAAGGAATGTCCTGGATAAAGACAGAACCTTCTGGAAAAGAAAGAACAGATGAGGTCAGGGCGATGCAAAACGATCACCGAAAACAGAGAGAAGTTCGTCCAGAGGGGAGAGCTGATCTCACAGAAGCCCAGGTCCTGAGTCAGTGGTTTGGAGACCGGAAACGGACAGCCTCCCATGACTCACCAAAAAGCTGCCTGGAAAGTAGTGGTAGCAGCTTTCTCTTGCAGACAGATAAGGATCAGGAACAAAAAAATCCCGAAACAAACTAGGAAGCCGTGTTTATGGTGAAAAGGGAGGGAGGAGAGAGCAAATAAACAGGAACTGGAGCAAAGCCAGATCTTGAAATGTGGCCAAAGCAGCATTCGGAGGGAAATGAGGAGCCCGAGCCTACCGTATGAAAGTCATAAACCTGCGAAGTAAGATAATCAGCCATTCCGGTGGAAGTGCTATGGAAAAGCCATCACAAACAGCATATAAAAGAAGAAAGTGTCAATAGAGATAAAAATTCATAATCAAGGAATACACTTGATTAAGACAAATAAAGTCTTCAGATGTTTGTTTGTTTGTTTGTTTGTTTG